ATTTGTGCGTTTATATTATGCGTTTGAGCATTTATATTATGCATTTGTGCATGTATATTACGCATTTGTGCGTTTATATTATGCGTTTGAGCATTTATATTATGCATTTGTGCATTTATATTACACGTTTGTGCGTATATTACACGTTTGTGCATTTATATTATGCATTTGTGCATTTATATAACTAGTTTGTGCGTTTATATTACGCGTTTGTGCGTTTATACTATGCAAAATCAACTTTTTTGAGCTTCGTATCATGTTATCATATATTCTCTAATCAGAAACATACCCAGAGTGTTGCTTTGACTCATTCATGCATGTTTTAGAAATCCTTACATCTCCTGTGGCAGTCATAAGGAGCTGCCTAAACCCTTGCTGCTACAAAGCACCGTCTATTTGTACCTAGCTCCTCCCTGCAGCCGAGCTCCCGCCCCACAGAGCACCCCTCCCTCATCTTCATCCRCGGGGTTCTCTCTGGTTTTGAAAGTCAACAGACAATGGTGAAATCTTGCCGTGTGAACCAAGCAGAAGACTGACTCTGATTAAGGCCAACACATACTGAGCAGGGCAGTCTAGGATCTGGCTGTAAATCATTGAAGGGGCTGATGGGAACATTTCTGCATCGATGGATAAAATTCTACAACTGCATTACTATAAAACCGCAGCGTCCAATCCTGGTCTCTGTGGGCCACTATCCTGCATGTTTTAGAGGTTTCTCTGCTCCGATGCACCTGATTTGAAGGAATGGGTGATTATCAGACTTCTACGGAACTTGTGGAGTTAATTCAGCCACTTCATCAGGTGCGATGGAGCAGAGAAACAGGATAGTGGCCCACGAGGACCCCTGCTATAAAACAGGCTTAATGAAGTCAGGTCACATGTAGAACTAGTAAACAAACAGCTGCTATCACATCAAACTTTAGCTCTTTATATGTTAAATCTCAGCTACTGACATTTTTGTTKTTGTTGGATAATGTGGCCTAGCTGTGGCAGCCATCTTGAATTGGATTGACCCACAAACGTAATCAGTTGATGAACACCTGATGTTTCATTCATGACATATTTTGCTAACACAACAGACAAACACACATTATCGCCCTCAGGTCTTTAGTGGTAGATGAATGAAAGTAGCAAACCTTTAAAGATTGACACGTAGGGACAATAAGGTTTGCTACTGACACCAAACAACAAGTAAAGTKAGATTTACTTCTTACAATCCCCAGATTTGAATACATATCAGTATGAACCAAGCATTCCGGTGATGCTGTTCAGGGGGGTGTTCTGATACAGTGAGCCCGCTCCTTCCTAACAATCAGAAGTGAACATCAAGCTTGACAAGTGCTGTCAGTCCCAGGTGTGATGCAACAACCTCCTGGCAGACACTCAATCTCACACTGGGCATCTCACCCCCATTTCGTACGACGGAAAGACGAGAACGGCGGGTGGAGGGACGCGTCAGTGGGATGGAAGTAGGGACGAGTTAAAATTCAAGACCGGAGAGGTGAGGTGGGGATAAAGATGAGAGCAAGGCTAATTTTAAAACATGCAATTCCCACAAGGAGGAGTGAGATAACTTTACTCAGAGAGGACTGTCACACTAACAAAAAAAAAAAAACCTCGCAGAAACGTAGAAACTCACTGATCTTTTAACAGGAAATTAGCGTTTGTTGTTGTTGTCACAATGTTAAGGCTGGTGGCATCTTTCATGTAATCTTCAGTTTCTAATTAAAAGATAAACGCCGAGCCTTAAGTGAGACGCAGAGAAAAAAATGCTTGTGAAGAGGAGAAAAATGAACCATTCTTCAGAATGGATTTAGTGGCAACGATAATTGAACGGCTCGCTCTCAGAGAACACAACACTCCACACGCAAATATCTCAACAAATCATCATCTCAGTGTTGTGAATGTTTATTTTGTTTGTTGGAGCTTAAATAGATTTTTTATAATGGTTAAAAATGTAACTGCAGAGTTCATAAGTGATACATTAGGATTTGTTTAAATTGATAAAAAGGCATGTGTGTGAAATTTAGTTTATTTTCTAATAATAATAAAGTGATTAAAATGTAAAATTGACAAAAAATGTTGAGGTGGGTGTGGTTTAGAGAGGGTAGAGCCACACAGTTGTTCCACTTCTCCTTTTATGTCTCTCTTTGTCTTTCCTTTGAATTATTTTTGTCTTTGTATTTGTGATGTTTGGATAATTTTGTGCCAGTTTTGATTTTTTCAACAAAAGTGAACTGTTCAACTACATGAAGGAACCCAGTGAATTTGTTGCATAGTGATACCTCAGAGTGGCTATAGGCCAGCTAGTGGCTTCACTTATGGGAAACCTTCAATGTTATTAGCTCCTTCCAAAAATGCATTAATATTTATCCCAAAAAATGTCGCAGGGACTTTAAAGAGGGGTGTTATGCAAAATCATCTTTAATGAGCTTTATATCATGTTATGTTATTCCCTCATCAAAACCATACCCAGAGTGTTGCTTTGACTCATTCATGCATGTTGGAGAAATGCTTGAATCTCCACGTGGAGCTGCCTAAACACYTGCTGCTACAAAAGCTCCGCCCATTTGTACAAARCTCCTCCCTGGAGCTCAGTCTGCAGTTGAGCTCCTGTCCCACAGAGCACCCCTCCCCTAATGCACTGATGTGAAAATGTGCTGAAGTGGGAGTGTCAGAAATGGTAGGAGGTTCTTAAAGAGACAGAGGTTAATTTAAAAGTGCTTAGGTTATATTTTTGACATACAGTATGTACAGTGTTTTCATAACAACTGAAGGTAACATTCATAGTTACTTGATAGTGGTATAGAATTTAACTCATTCCGCCTCTTTTTAAGAATGAAAGGTGCTCCTAATCCTAATTTGGGAAGCCTTCTCAATTCTAGATTTCCTAAAAAATCTTATTTTTTCTCTCTCTCTCTGGATTTACTTAATAAACCATAAGACATCTGTTCTTGATTACATGGTTGTTTGTAATCTGTAACCACTCAGAAACGTTTCATATCTGCGTCGCTTACAAATAATTCCAGAGGTGATCAGACTTTTGCATTTTTGCTACAAAACTGTAGAAGAGCGTACCTCATCATATTCTGTCTGAGTCTATGGAGGTTTTTAAATCTTTGATGAACATCCATCTCTTTYCTGTGATTTTTGATTGAGGCAGAGTTTGAGGGTCAATTAGAGCTGACAGTTTGCAGGTTTTATTGTGCATTTCTATATTTTATTCGACTTTTATTTCACACAAGTCCTTGACTAAACTGCAAAGCACTTTCGGTCAGCTTTTGTTGTTTTTGAATGTGCTGTAAAAATAAATTGGACATTGATTTTCTTTTTTCACTTGGACGTTTTAGCCTCTAAAGAGAAACTGTTGAGATGATTCTTGGAAAGCCCTCTCACTGCAGCACACGTCACTAACAGCATGACAATGGTTTTTTTTTTTTGTTAGTTTCAGCTGAATGGTAGTGTCATGTTCTCTGTTTTCAATACTTTTTCAAATCAAAGATCTCTCAGCTGCTCGCTGAATATCAACTGTGTCGCTGTGAGCAGCTTTAGATGACAAGTGTCAGTGATCATTACAAATGATTCTCTKTAGACAACCGTTTAGAAAAAGCTCACTTAGGGACAAATCTGACAGCCTGACAGGTTTGYGACCACAGGAGTTTCCTGTTCGCGGCAGAATGTCAGGTTAGTGGTGGCACAGAGGAGAAACGAAACACACCTAATGCTAGCTTAATCTTTCCCATGCTCCAAATCCAATTTTCTTCATGTTCTACCTCCCCTCAACAGCATTCAGCTTGTCCTCTGTTTGATCTCTAATAAGAAGGCACAACATTGCATCAGCAGCTGTCACAACATCTGCGCTGCATCCTTATATTAAAGGAAAACAGCACATAACAGTTACAAAGCCTCAGTAATTTAAATACCCCAGGGGAATTTACACTTTGTTGCATCAGGTTTTAAATACCTCAGTATCTCAAACTTGTCAAAATCAGACTGCTTTTAAGGCACTCGTGTAGTTTTTTTTTTTAACAAAAACAACAAAAAAAGTAAACATGCCGCATTATGAGTGAAAACGTGTGAGAACCTCTGAGACGTTCTGTTAGTTTTCTAATATTCCCATCAGATTCACACGAGCAAAAACAATGGTTAAATATTAAAACAGCTGTTTAGGAACTAACTGATGTAATGTGCTGACAACATCGGAGCAACTTACACAGATCATCAAAACGGACTCAAAATGGGAGCATCRCAAACTGTGATGAGAACCAGCATCAGCAGACAGAATGACACTGTGGCTCTCTGAGAGGCTACGGGGACGTTTGTGTAAATTGGCAGTAAATCGTAAAAGAAAGACTCTAAATTGCCTCAGTGTGTAGAATCTGCTCGCCTGAGTAGATTTCCAACATTATGACCCGAGGAGTCTCTGTTATGGCGTAAACAGTCACCATTTTTATCTTCATTTGTTTGTCCTCTATTTGCAAGCAATTCCTAAAACCCACTAAGCTCCAACCCTGACTGAGGTTATGTTCCTTTTCGTTTCAAGGAAGTGTCACATTACATTAGCAGTTTCCTCAATTCTTCTTCAAGCAGGACTCRTTTTCCCACACAGCTTTTTATTACTCTATTTACAATTTGTGTAAATTGCCTGAGCTGCTGAGGGTGAAATGAGACATGGATGTGCCACTTAGGACCTAACTTTGTGTGTGTGTGTGTGTGTGTGCGTGTGTGTGTGTGTGTACCTATTTTTTGTTACTTTTTAGGTCTGTTTCTGGTATAAACACCTACCCTGTAAAAACCAATCGTCCTTTTGGGGACCATAGACCGGTCCTGATGTGGTGGAACGCCACTTTTGGGTTAGGAATTATCTTTAGAACTAAGGTGTGATTTAAGGATGGGTTAAAGAGTGTGTGTGTGTGTACTGGTAATGGCTAGGTGTAGGGTCAGGTTTAGGCTACAGAGACAAATGGAAGTCAATACACAGTCACAAGAAGGTTAGAAATATAAACTTGTGTCACTTTCTATAATGACTGCTGCCATTTTCTCAAAACAAAAAACTTCAGAACTTGAACCAAAGGCATGGATAGATAAATGACAGATAGACGTCTGACTACGACCYAGAACGTGAAGTCAGTATGGAGTTCCTACAGGAGTAGGACGTGGGATTTTTGCTCGTCTTTTATTGTCAACCTCATACATGTCAACCCCTTTGGACGTTTACCTGTATAATGAGCCTCAAAAATCCATAATTTTCAAATAAAAAAATGYAATAATCCCACCGCACGRGGTCGGGGAATGGGCAACGCAGGCRGACTCTCAGCCACGGAGCAGACAGCACCTGTTTGCAACATAGCAGGAGGAAGTGAGGATGGGATGGCTTATTTCTAGCAGCAGAGCGGCTCGGAAGATGGTTATTTGATGTTATTTATTGTTTTTTTTAATGCCCTACAGGCTCTGGCATGTTTAATAAATTTGAAACTGAGTTTTTGAAAAAAAATCCGTAAAACATGAAAAAATCTGTGAGATTGCTCTCTACGTCCACATACCTGCAAAATGACCGAAAATCCGTGTAAATTATGGACAATTCGTACAACTTGACATGCATGCAACCTGTTCATCACCACCGAACAAGAGGTGTGGTATTAATGAAGAAAGAATGGGACCGCCTTCAGGCTTCAGAATGAATCCTTAACAGTTTGGTTTCGACAGCCTTTAGCCTTTAGCCTTTAGCCATCCACACAAGATAAAATATTGTTCTTCAGCTGCCCAAGAGCTCCACTTCAAAATACCTGAACTATCACTCTTAGGTTACATTTWATATAAAGTTTAATTATAGTAAATAGAAGGTTGAGAAGTCTAAGAATCCAGCATGAGTCAGCGTAATGCCTTTTGAAAAGCCAGAAACGTGACTTTCTTCACAAGCTGGAGCGTCAGTGTTAGTGGCAGCACATTAACCGGCTGCTCCCTCTCCGGTTGCTGCGACTCTACGCTCAAAGTGTGAACTGACAATAAAAATGCCTCCTATTGAGGAAAAGTGAAGAGCCTTAATKTTTCATGACCACTTTGAGCAAAGGACTGAATTATTGATGGATCTTCTTCTTCAGAGGGAACTAAATCCCACATAGAGAGTTTGAGAGACAGCAGGAGATTATCTGACAGAAGTTAACCACAACTTGACCACAGAGATTATGAATATTATCTTATTCAGTGCGAATCAACAGCTCACTAAAGCTCCTTGGAGAAACAGTCACTGATCTGTTCCACTAATTGTGCTCGGACAGGTTTAGTGAAAGCGAACAGGTTTTAATGTTGCAGTTCTGAGTGCATCAGCAAACACCTACCTCCGTGCTTTTTGGACCAGAAAGGTTGAAGCTTTGATAGAGAACAAAACCTTGGGATTGTAATCAAAAAGGGGTTTATTATTGTTTGAAATTAATTTATATATAGTTTGTTGTAAATAGGAGCGGATATCATATGATTTTTTTTTCTTCTGCTGCCTTTCATTTTATTTGATTTGCATTGTTTTGTTGTTCGTAATGTGTTTTATTAAGTTAGTTTTTTTAATGAAATGAATAAATACTAAATAAATTTTAAAAAGGGGGTTTAAAGTATGCACACAGGCTGCCTAAATCATTGTCAGTAACAGATTGCGCAAATGGGAAAGTGCAATACTCCTCTGCAGACAAAGAAACCAGTAACATTTTTGTAAAATATGTCACATTTTTATCAGCTAGATATGTAATGTGTCGGTTCTTGCGCCACATCCAGTTGTACCTGTGATGACTCCTAAAATCTTTAGATTTTGAACAACGTCACCACACGGACATTACAGGTCATTTGTTGGATGATGTAATGAATTCAAAAGCAGCTTGAATATTCATTTCTGAAGTAAAAACGTACTTCTTTGAAAAGCAAACAAAAATATTGACAAAAAGTCTAAACAAATAAGCAAAAATAAAAAAAAGGTACATAAAAAGGGCTGTTGCCATTGTTACCTGAGCGCGGCATGGTGCCCCCACGACTGGGGAGGGGAGGAGCCTGGAAGGCGTAGACAACGTCGCCGTCGGCAATGGAGGTCAAGTCATCGTCGTCAAAGAAAGAACGCTGGAAACCCGTGGAGTACAGCTCAGACAGGATGATCTGCAACGGGAAGAGAAACATCAGCATTTATGAGCATTTTTCAACTCTTAATTACAAATGTTGACTAAATTTATAAGTAATATCTACAGGGAGTCATGGTACAGACATCAGGTTCTGCTGCAGGCGAAGAGCAYATTAATCACAAATGATCACAGCTCTGATCCAGAAGAGCGGACACGCAGGGTGTTTTCTGTTTTTGCTTATTGCCACAACAAACTAAAGCACTSTACACCARAGCAAAGCAAGATTAGTTCGTTCAGATGGCAGCTCAGAGGCCTGTTTCAGTGTGAAGTGAGACTGAATGAAGGTTATATGGAAATAGACATAATTCACACTTTATAACACCCTCTGAACAACATGAACACACACCAAACTAAAAAAATGGTTTGTTTTGTTTTTTAATGAAGCTTTCCATTTGTGAGGGTTTGAGTTCGACACCTTTCTAAAATAAATCGCCTAAGTCTCTTTGTTTTTGTCAGGAATCTCAAAAAAATGTTAAATGGTACATTTTTGGTTATGTTGTTTGTGCTTTTAGAGAAACGGGGAAAAAAACCCCCGCAGGATATTATTTTAGAAAGGTGTCGAGTTTTTACTTCTGAGAAGGTCGCTCGTTTAAAATAATTAAACTATGACAATCTTAATGTTCTTGTTTTTATTACCTTTTGAAGACCATTTCTGGTATACAAACCTACCTTGTCAAGACTCATAGTCCTTATGCGGACCAMAGGCCGGTCCAAATATGGTAGAACTAAGTTTATGGTTAGGTATGTACTGGGAGGGTTAGATTTAGGGTAAGGGGTTTGGGTTAAGCTATAGAAACAACTGGAAATGAACGGGAGTCAAAGAATGGTCCTAATAAGGATAAGGATATACAAACCAGTGTGTGTGTGTGTGTGTGTTCTCTGCATACCTGGTCAGGGGAGATGTTGCCCTCTGCTGCTACCATGGCTCTAAGACAGGATATAGAACCAAACAGAGGTACCGCAAGCCCCACTCGCAGATATCGCTGACCCTTTGTGTTAAACACCAACGTCACACACATTGACCTGTGGGGCCGATTACAAGGAAAGAGAGATTAAGCCGATAGCTTGTGTCTGTGTGTGTGTGTGTGTG